CTCTACTTGAAGAAAAACATTAGAAAATCTGAATCCACAAATTACAATAGCAAACAATTGGGATTTATATAATGCTTTGTGCTTACAAAGTGCTTGATGTACATGTTTCTTTGTATCTTCACACTGCTGTGAATTAAGTAGTGTAGGCATTTTTTATCCCCATTTTACAGATAAAGAAATGGAGGCCAAGAGGGCTTAAGTGATCTGATCAAGATTGTACCAATGATAAATGGCAGGGCAGGGACTAAAATCCAGGGCTCTATACACTGAGCAGCTTGCTGTCCCCAATTTCAGTTTAATCCAGTTCATCGAATACCTATTGCACCGTTCTTACATACAATGTACTGGCCCAGAAATATTTACACAAAGGATATAAATTCCAAGAGATCCAAATTGTAGATTTAAAATTGGCAGAGAACCTAGAGACCATCTGGTCCAATTCCCTTATTTTACAGATGAGGAAACTGAGGCCCAAGAATTTAAATGAGTTGACTAAGGTCACACAAGTAGTAAGTAGTAAGTGGCAGAAGCAGAATCTGAACCCAAGACTCTAACTTCAAATCTACTGCTCTTTCCACTGCAATAGACAAGGGCCTTAAAGATCATCTAAGTCAATTCCCTGCTTATCCAGATCAATTCACAAAATCTCTGTAAAACCCAGTTTTTGAGGAAAATGTGTCTGTTGTATAGGGCAAAGTACACCAGGAAGTGAGAGAAGGCTTTTTCAAGGTTGACAATATATGAGTTCATTGAAATACATCCCTCTTTGAAGAGGAACAAGCATTAAACATGCTTATTAAACACATTCATTCCCTTGCACCCTTCCTTGACATCTCAGAGTAAGAAAGGACATGCCAGAGCAGGGAAAGGCTGTGCAGGAGCTGGGAATGAGCATCAATGGAGGTTTTAACAATTTGTCTAATTGAATTAAATTGCTCATTTTATGTATCATAGTAACAATTAAAAGAAAGATAAAGTAAACATCATGGAAGAGCTAGTCCCTGCTCTTGAGGAGTCTCCAATCTAAGAGGAGAATTGGGGGACGGAGGGGGAGGACAACCAGCATGGAGAATAGAAAGACACTGCTAAGTTCTATACCCTACTATATGGGAAAGAACTCTAGATTGGGAATTCAGAAATGGTTCTGGTCCTTGTTCTGACACTCACTGACCATGTTACCTTGAGTGTGTCAACATATCTCTTGGTACCTCCCTTTAGTTCTCCCGTCTGTAAAATGGTGATAACAAAACCTACTCTGTGCACTTCGAAGAGTTGTTGTTAGTTATTACCGTATTTACTTTTTAAATCCAAGAGCATAAAAATCAACTTTGCTCTGAAATTTGGTTAAGAATGTCACAAGCACTATGATCAGAATCATAGCAGGTCATTGCCAAAACAGGGTTGGAAGTTCCAGGACTAGACAAAGAGTAACAGTGACATGTAAGCTGACACAAATATACATATAATATCAAGTCTATAAATAAGTGACCACATATGCATTGCCTCTAACATAAATCACGCCTCTTTGAGAGTTGTATGAGACATCTGTCTCTAAGGGAGAGGGAAGGTCAGCCCAAGAGGTTCCCAAGAAACATCAGTGATCAACAACAAAACCGAAGAAAGTCACTGAGAGGAAAGTTCATGTCTTAATTGACAAGAGGATGAAGCAGGCTTCACATGAGGACAGACTAAATTGATTAAGGGACTCCATTCTCCATTCTCCCAAATATTAAAACTTCAGAAGCCCCTTGGAGCTTACATGAGGTAATTTTGGGACAAATAAAAGGAAAAACTATTTGCCACAACAAAGATAAATCTATAAAATTCATTACCAACCCTATTCTCCCCCTTCATGAACATATGAGTGTGCTCTCGAGCACACACACACACACACACACACACACATACACACACACACACACACACACACACTGATGAAAGCTGAAAGGTCCTGGGACTTCCTCATTTTATAAATGAGGAAAATGAGGTCCAGAGATAGAATATTACTTATTCTGAGTCACACAAGTAGTATGTTGGCAGCAAAAGGACCCAAAAACAGTTCTTTCAAATCCAGTGCACTTTGAGAAAAGTCATAGGAATCTATTAAGTTAGATTTATCTGGATCCCTAATCAATGAGGTGGATGTAGAAGGTACCTCACCCATTGTTTCCTCAGTCAGGTCAGAATCAGATTTCTGGGCTAGATGGGTTATAAATCTAATACAGGGTAAAATTTTCTGTTATTACTTGAGAAATTAGAAAATTTGGACTTTCAAAATCCTTGAGCTAGAGACCTTAGAGATGATCTAGTAGTGCCCCCCTTCATTTTATAGATGGGGAAATTTAGGTCCAAAGAAGGAAATGAGTGGCATGGGTCACATAGCTAGTCTTCTTGTCCCGTGGTTAATAGTAAAGCCAAAAACTCTATTATCTTGATTCTCAATTCCTTGCTCTTTCTATGAAAAGTATGTTGTTAGCCAGGGATTCAGTGAAGAGCTTCTAAGGCAACTCATCTGAAGTCTACCAGGTAACATCATCTATTAGAATTTACACTTACCTTCAGCTTTCCCCAAACTTTCTCCAGGTAGGCCAAAGGCCTCTGGCAACTCCTTTAGAGTGATGTTGACTTCCCTTCTAAGAACTTGGTAATGGTGATTCAATATCAAGAAACCACCTAACCAATTCAGTCCAATCCAACAAGGGGTCATTAATACCCTTCATGTGCCAGGATTGCATTGTGCTAGAACTTAAGGATGGGGAGATAAATGGAAAAAAAAAAAAAAAAAAAAACAACCATCCCTGCCCTCAGAATGCTTACATTCTACTGGACTTTTGTGAATTTATTCAACAAACACTTATGAACCATCTGCTGTGCAGAGAATGGGTGACCATAAGCTAGAATGAGCACGTAAAGAAAGAGCATTCTGTGTTGAAGATGGAGAAAAAGAAGGCTCTACACTTTAGGAGTTATTGAGTGCGAAGGAGCCTAGTGTGTTCCTGCTCCCTGATTTCCTCAGAGTCTACAACCTTTTTTTTTACTTAGCAGAGAATGGGAACAGGTGTACTTCTGGCTCCCAAATTCAGTTGTATGGGCCGGGGCTAGTTAGGGGGTTCAAATGTGCGGTCTCCTGAAGGGAGCAGCTGAGGGTGGGGTTCTTGGGGGGAGGGGGAGCGAGGTGAAGACTGAAAACAAGGACAGGGATGGGCCTGGAGGAAGTGACTCCTATTCCTGCTCCTTGGGAACTCCCTCTAGTGCAGCGTGGGCTCAGGGAGCTAAAAAGAGGAAAGGGGTTAAGAGGAAGGAACCAGTGTGGACTCGCAACCCTCCCGGAAATCTCCCCAACCTTGAGTCAACTAGTTTATCTCCACATTGTCCTTGCCATCCTCCTCTTTCGCGACCCCTCCTCTCCTCGCTTTTCCTTTTCCCTCCCTTCCGTTTTCCCCTCCCTCCCTCCAGGCCTCCCCACTTCTCCTGCGCCTCCTCCTCCTCCTCCCATCTCCCACGGTCATAGCTCCCTCTCTCCAACAGAGGCACCTGCTCCGTGCTCACTTCTCGTTGATCCACTGCGGACTTCTGGTGCCCGTTTCGCTCTTCCTGGTCCTGCCTTCTGGTTCCCACCGCCAACCGCCCCCTGCTTCTGGGAGCACCAGCACACCCCCAAGGTCCCAGCGCCTCCTCCCGCCCTCCCCTCCCCCATCTCATAGCTGTCTTTTTCTAACTGGTCTCCTGTTCTCCTAGCCATGGACTGGGGCTTGATCGGTGCTTGGGTCAGCCTGCTTAAGAAACCAAGGTAAGAAGTTGGGAGCTGGGAAGCTGGGGGAAGAGGGAAGGGAGGGGCTGCGGAAGAAAGAGGGGCGCTTCCCCCTAGACGTCACCAGGAATGTCCCGAGGGTGCTAGGGAGAATTTTAAGGCAATTTGGAACGAGGTGTTGGAGAGAAAGTGCCCACCCTGTGGGAAGTGGTCTGCACGACCAAGCGGGTGAGGGCGCGGCGCTGCGCTGCGGGGCGCTTTTGGCGCAATGTGTTAATGGGGTGGGGGCGGTCTAGATCAGGGATGAGGCCCCCAGAAATGAAGCACAAGGCAGGACACCCTCTGGGATGCAGGGGGAGGTCCATTTTTTGCACTGGAGATCTGGAGGCACTGCGCTGGCTGGGGGGAGGGAGGGAAGAAGAGCTTGAGGTGGGGAGGGGTGTGTGTGAAAATCGCGCTCTGGCAGATCTAATCCCGGGCGCAGGTTGTGAAGGGATACCAGAGCCCCAGCAGTGACCACTTTCTCTCCCTCTCCTTTGGCTTTCCCGGACGGGCTATCACCAAAAACGCGTTACGCTTGGACGTCAGATTTCCGTTCTGAGGCTGGGCAGTGTTGGCTGGAGAAGTCACGAAAGAGGCTGGGGGGAGCGGCGGCAGGCAGAAAGCGAGAGGCGAAAAAGACAGAAAGAGGAGAGGAAGAGAAGGAGAAGAGCCCGGCTCTTGAGTGGCACCCTAGTGCCTGTGTTTCTCAGCGCCTGCTGTGGGGTAGCCCAGCGGCCAGAGTTCATAAAGCTGAGCCTGAGACCCCAGCGCTGCTGCCGACTCACCCCGCCTCCTCCCGGCTAGCCCGAGCCGAGAGGCATTGGGGGATGGGTCCTGGCGCGGTGCCCGGGACCCCTGCCTCGCTGGCGGATACTGAATCGCGGATCTTCCGGAGCCTAGTGAAACCCGCTTCCCCATCCGACTAATTCGCTTTGGGGATCGAGCTACAGAAACAGACAGAAGGGCAGACAGGCGGGCGGACAGACGGACCGGCACTGGCAGCGCACCGGCGCGCACACACACCCTCGGGCGACCGGCGCCTCCCATCCTGTGGAATTTATCCTTCCTCCCATCCTAGCGCACCAGCCCCTCCCCCGTGCTTCGCCCTCTCTCCCGCTCTCCCGAAAATAAAACAGAAGGGGTTGATTGGTGGCTTTGGGTGGCGGCAGGGAGGGGAGGACGAAGTCTCCTTCGCCCAAGCTGGACCAGGGTCCGAGCCGGTCGGGGGGCCATGGATTTGGAGATGTCCTAGCCGAGCCCGGCGCCCACATCCGCTTGCCCCCTCGGCCCGCTCTCCAAACTCTCCCCACGTGAAATGGAACAGCGGGGACCGATCAGCGCCCTCCGATACCTGCTGCTGCATGCCCCGCTGCTCCTCATAGCCAACGGTGAGTCCCAAACTTTCCCTGATTCGGCCGTGGGGGAGGAGGCACAGGAGATGGGGAGTCGATGGGCGATTTTGAAGATTTCCCCACCCACCCCTTTCAGAAAGCAAAGATACGGGAGAAATGTGCCTGGGCGCCTAGAGACCAGCCTAGAGACCCCTGTTCAGGGCCAGAGTATTGGGATGTGAATAGGAACTTGACACTGCGAAGGGACGGAGCACTTCGTAAGGTAGCTTTTACATCCCTATATAAAAATAGTGCAAGCGCCGATGGGCTCCATCAACCAATATCTGTCTTCACAGCCGCTCAATCCCTTCAGCTCCCGTTGGTGCTGAGAACAGAATCCAGGAGCTGAGGGTGCCCCGCGCCTTACAGGCTGCCAGGCTCTGTGAGAACAGAGAGGAAGAGATTTCATTCTTGGGGAAGGTTGGGGAGGGGTCTGGCACAGCGTGTGAGGGGCTATAAGGGATTTTCCGCTACTGCTCTGGGGCTGGTAAGTGAGGTGAAACTGAGGTGGGGGGTGAGGGGCGGAACGCAGTTGCGGATAAGGGCAGCAGAGCGGTTTTGCAGAGGAAAGGGGGGGGCAGACATGGCTTCAGTCAAACCTCCGACGGATGCCAACGACCCAAGACGCCTCCCCACCCAATCCTGGCCCCCTCCACAGCTTGCCAGATACTACAAGAGAATAATGACTGTGTCCACGTTTCCCTGCAAAGTGCTCTTTTCTCTAGAGATGCATGACTAAACTTTGCTCCCGGATTCCTTTCCCAGAATGGTGCTGTAATAGAAGCCCAGGGCTACACTGTAAGAGGGAGCCCTGATTTCTTTACCTTCTCTTCTCCCAAAGCTAGCCACCTGAACCTACGCCCGACTTCTCCGAGTATCTTCTGGGAAATGATTAGCTCTGGCCACTGCCGAGATGGGCTGGTTTGGGTTCATCTCGCCCTTTATCCAATTCGAACCCAGATTTCCCAACGGGCCTCAGCTCAGCCAACCCCAATCTGTCACTTCTGTCTTTTCCCTCCCAGCTACATTCACCGAAGTCCCCAAAGATGTGACTGTTAGGGAGGGAGAAGATATTGAGATGCCCTGTGCTTTCCGGGCGAGTGGATCAACCTCCTACTCGCTGGAGATCCAGTGGTGGTATCTTAAAGACCCGCCCCGGGAGCTGGCCCACGAATTAGCGCTCAGTGCCCCTGGCAGCAGAAACAAGGTAAAAGAATTAAGTCCCTTCCACAACCCCCGCGGGGAAAGGGGTGGGGAAAGTAGAAGGGAGGGGGAGGGGACAGATTTACCCTTCACCCCGCTGCTACAGATCCAACAAAGGCCAGAGTAAAATCCCCACTTCTTGTTGTGTGCTGTGTATTGAGAAGGGATGGACACTGTCAGCCGGCCAGTGTGGGATGAGGGAGTCATTTGATGGTAGGAAAGTCGTAACCATCTCCTCCACCCTCCCTGACTCCTTTCCACCACTTCATCCTCCACTGCACTCCCCACCCCCACCCCAAAAAAAGCTTCCTAAGAACAGTATTCAGTCCTTTTCTCTAGCGAATACTAAGTGCAGAGGCCCTGCCCTGCATTTGGGAATGAACCTGAAGCGTCTCTGTTATGGGTTTCCAAGTATCAAAGATAATGATAAGGATGACAGCATTTATATTCTATATATATATTAACATGTGCAAAACATGTTACATCTATTATCACATTTGATCAATGAAAGAATACAGAATCTGCCTAGCTCTGATCCCAACCAAGGGATGGGGCATCAAACTGGAGCAATTCTAAACTGAACCTCTCCCGGACCCAGAATTTTAAGAAGCAGAGGTAGGGCCCACCCTTGAGGCTGAAATCAATCTACCTGCAAAAATGACCAATCTTTTCCCTTACTCACCTTCCACCAGAAGAGACCCACTAAGGCCTTCCACTGGCACATATAATGCCCCTTCCCCCAACCTGGCTTTTTTCCAACCTTCGTGGACTGATTGGAGTCCAGTCCCCTTTGCTCTGAGAGCCTTGTTGGCACCAGTATTGTGGGAATGCTCAACATTCTCCCCAGATACAAGAACCCCCATCCAGCTGATAATCCTTTAATCAGGGAATCCCACCAGTCTATTGGGGGTGAAGAGACAGAAGAAAAATATACAGGTGATCCATCACCATAGTTGCAATTGAGAGTAGACCCAAAAGTAGTTTGTAGTGGCAACCCCCTCCAGTTCCTACTGTGGGGATGCATCTTTTTCCCTGAAGACCTGCTGATTCAGGTTTTTTTGTGTGTATGTACAAACCTGGGGCCTGAGCTGAATGTCCCCTCTTCCTTTTTTCCCACCCCCAAGCCCTAAGGATGCTCTGCATCAATGCTGTTTGAGTTTCTCCTCCATCCCCCCACCCCCCAGCTAGGGTAGCAACTCCCAGTGTATTCCTGCTTGCAAGGGTAGGGACATAGGTACCCTGAAGTCCCATCTGCCCTTAGGAACATGCCACACTGCTCTACCGTGCAGAAGTCCCCATCTACAATCAGCATACACAATTAGATCCTGCCTCAGGCCCCCCAAATCTGAAGTTTGGGAAATTGCTCTGAAGGGAGTGTAACAGCTGGGATGAGGATCTCCTTTAATCTGAGAGATGCTATTCTAAAAACTAGAAGATTGTAGCCTAACATCTCTCCCTCTTTGCATTTTAGGTAACAAATAAGGATGCAACCAAAATCAGCGTAAGTGTAGAGCAACAGCTATGGTCTGTGGGGGACCCCTCTTGGTGGATTTTCTTCCCACAGCTAACATCCTTTCACCTTAGCCTATTTCACCTAATAGAGCAAACTGCTTTCATGCAACTCTTGTAATTTTGCATTTTTCTGCTGCTACCAAGTGTCAAGGCTCCATCTGCTATTATTTGTTCCAGTCAAGTTTCATTTCTTGTAAATCAAGAGAACATGGCATTTGTCTCCACTCCCTGATTTGCTCTCACCTGTAAAAACACTCCATCCCAGATCATGTGCTAAATGCTATCCATTTTGCTAGCCCACTTCTTGGCCTTTATTTTCTCCCAGCAAATGTTAAATCCCTACTATTTGCAACCACTTGTGTGCTCAGATCATTTGCCTCCTTTTTCCCAGAATATCCCCTATCAGTTCTCAGAATTGTCCTCCCTTATGCTGCTAAACAGCTTTTTACCACATCACCTTAGTGTGTTTGTAGCAAACAATACAATGTGATAGTTTTACATTTGGCCAATTTTTGAAGAAATACATGGGACTGAGGGAGGTTATGGATCTGGAATATATTGTTGCAGGGGGAGGAAGGATGGGAGTTAGAAATGGAATTGTAGAGGTGTAATTGTATTGTTTGGAGGTAGTATTCATTGAGTGAAGGGGTAGAAATTTGCTACTGAAGGCTAGAGGAGAGGAATGGTTTGCTTTGTTTGGGGAATATGGAAATTTAGAAAAATAGATTATTTGTGAGTGTTAGAATGTTGGGGGGGCACACTAGCTGTAATATCTGATTTCTCCTTGGGGATTGTGGAGTATTATCAGGAAAGCTTTGAGGTCTTGAGAAGAAACAGTTGCAGTTCTCCTTAGGAGGGAGTTGAGATCATTTTTCTGTGGAACTATATCTAAGAGGTGAAAGGGCCTAGGATCAGACAATCTTGAATTTAGAAAGAGTATTAACTAGTGATAAGGTGAGAGAACAGATATGCAATTTAACCCACGAAAATACACCAGGAAAACTGCAGCCTGCATGCAATGGAAGGCCAATGTGAACAGAGGGGGAGAGGGGCTAATGTAAGAAGAATGGAGGGACTGATTACAGTAGACACAGAGAAGTTAATGAATAGTGGACTGATATTATTCTATGGTCTGGCTGATGTGAGACTGAAGAAGTACTGTAAGAAGACTAAGCAAGACAGGATCTGCAAGGATGCTAACAGGAGAGGGAAATGGGAAAGAGAGGAGTAGATATAAAAGAAATATTCGGAAGGGCAGGGGAGAATAATGTGAAGAGGAGACTTGCAGGAGTCAGGTGACAGAAAGACTAACTACACAAGATGTTGCCCAGGGGCTGTGCAGTAGGGGAGCTATCAGGGCACCAATGAAGGGCAGGGGCACCGAGGAGCTGATACAAATAGGAGATGCCTGGACAAGTGCAGGAGGCATGTGCGAGGGAGATTGGATGGGGATCAGTGAAGGCGGTGGGGGATGGGACGGAGGCCGGAAGCTAGAGCACGGAGTGGGCGCAGGGGGATGTATAAGGATCGGGTCCTGAAGAAAACCCAGTGCGGGGTGGCTGGGTGGGGTCTCGAGGGAGGGGTTGGGGGCTGGTCTTGCGCCAGCTCCCAGAGGTGGCCCATGGGGTCGCGGGCTCCAGGGCGAGGAGGTGGCCGCTAACCCCGGGGCCGCGTGTCGCCTCTCTTGCAGACGGTGCGGGTCCAGGGCAATGACATCTCGCACCGGCTGCGGCTGTCGGCCGTGCGGCGGCAGGACGAAGGCGTGTACGAATGCCGGGTGTCGGACTACAGCGACGACGAGACGCAGGAGCACAAGGCCCAGGCGCTGCTGCGGGTGCTGTCGCGCTTCGCGCCGCCGGACATGCAGGCCGCCGAGGCCGTGTCTCACATCCAGAGCAGCGGCCCACGCCGCCACGGGGCCACCGGCCGGGCCACCTCCGAGCCTGGACGAGACAAGAGGCCCCCGGGAGGAGCCGGGGCCGGGGCCGCCAACGCCGCCTCCGCCCCAGCAGCAGCGGCCGCCGCGGGCGCCGAGAGCGGGGCTGCCGTGGCCTCCGCAGCCAACGCCGCCACCACCACCGCAGCTGCAGCCGCCGCCGCGGCCACAGCCGCCTCCTCGGCCTCGCCACCGCCGGGCAGGGCGGTCATCCTGCGCCAGAGGCACGGCTCTGGTGAGTCTGCCCGACCCCCCGCCGGGCGCTGGCGCGCACGGGCACGGGCATGGTCACAGTCACGGTCATTCAGCCAGTCTAGCTCGGTAGCCGGGGCTGTCAGTTACAGGGCGCGAAGGCGCCTGCGCGGTAGGTGGGAGACAGAGTAGGAAGGGGCCGAGGGGGCGGGACGCTTGAGTAGAACCCCAGCCAGCGTCGGGCAGGTGGGACCGCAGCCACCTGCTCGCAACCCTGGGCAGCCTTGTCAGCGTAGACTCCTCCAGGGGTGCTAGGTGTACCCGTAGATTAACGTCCACACGCACGCACATTCACACTCTCTGCCCCACGCTTATTCGAATATGCTTTTATTCTCGTTTCCACACGTAGGCTTTTACTTACACCCACATTTACACGCCTTCGTCTGCTTTTCTTTGCGTATCTTTGCCTCCCTTTTCCATGTTCCTTTTTTATCCGACGCACTTTTTCTCCTTTACTTACCGTCCTCTGCTCTTTTCTCATTGACCTCTTCCCTCCCTTTGGCTGGTTTTGCAATTTATATTCTTCCTGGTTTTATGTTCTGGTGGTCAGTTAGGAGCCTTCCTTCCCCCGGACAAGCCATCCTGTCTGGGTGGGTGGAGTAGAAGGCCTCTGCGCCTGGTTCCTGCTCCTTTGGGGATTGGAGAAGGTGGGGAGAGGGATTGAGACAACGGGGAATTCAGTATTGTTCTTTGTCGGGGTATCTGGAACTGGGCTGGAAGGGGATTGCTTTCCTGTATGGGTGTTTGGCCTACATCTCCAGGATTCCCTGGTGACGTTCTGTCGGGGGCTTTGCTGCTGTGGACTTAAGGTGATAAGGTCAGAAGAGAGTTATATTAAAGACAAGAGATCTTTGGCACCCAGAGGTAGGAACATTGCTCTGTGCTCAAGAACTGTATTATGCAGGCGCCGAAGAGTGGGGTTGGTTTGCTAAAAACAGACTTTCAAGTTCGGGCCACTATATAGACTAACCCCCCCCCCCCCAAATCTCACTTCCTTTACAGTCTGCCAATTCTACAATTCTGACACTAACCCATTCCTCCCCTATGGGTTTCACATTAGTAAGCTGAAGCAGGGTCGTTTTATTAGTACTTCTTGAGATTATTGGGTTCATTATTATTCAACAGAGAAGCCAGTCTCTGCAGACAAGGAATTTGGTGCTACTGGGTAGGGATAACTAGCCCTTTCCTGCCTGGGCCTGAGTTTCAGTCTCCCTTCTGCCCCTTAATTATAAATCTCTGGTTGATCTAACAATAGTACTGCTCAGATTGCCTGACATTCATTAGATCAGAGCCCTTTGGGTTAAACCTTTAGCTCCTTTGTGGGGGCAGATAGGAAATGCAAGGTTCTCCAAAATGTTCCTCACCCACCACCTGCTGACATGGAAAGAAAGGATGCCTAGGTCTTTTTCAGACTTCCTTGGGCTCTACAGTTCACAACCTTTGTGACCTTGGAAAAGTCACTTTTCCTACTACGGATTTCCTCTGCAAAATGAGGCTGTCTTAGCTTGAATGATCTATGTTTCCTTCGAGCTCTAAGACTTATGATTTAAATCAATTCTGAAATTAAATAATTGCTAATTAATCCCCCCCTCCCCATTCCACTCTGCTACAAAGTTTTGGTTGAAGGTGCAAATGCAAATTTTAACAACAAACAAAAAAGGATGCAATCAGTACCTGTCTGATCCAAACCTATCATCTCTAATTAAAGTTCAAGTGCTTGGTGTTATAAGGCTGAAGCAGGTCCTGGTGATAATGCAAGGGAACCTGTTTGGGAAACCACTTCAAGGCACACAGTTGCCAACAGGGCATTCTAAGTCTTGTTTTCCAGGATGACTGTGCTGAGCCAAGGAATATCCTGGCTCTCAGATACCCTATTTAGAACAAACTTGAGACTCAAACTGTGTCTTTCAAAAGTTCAAATTGTGCTTTCCTATAAAACAAAACAAAACAAAACAATTATGTCTTTTGAACTGCAAAATGAGTATAATGTCTAGTATTAGGCTCTATTTCCCAGGGATTGTTTGAGGCTTTCATTGTCACTACCTTCTTGCCAATCAAACTGAATGCATTTCTTGGTAATTCCTTGGGTCAGGAAAAGATAGGTAAGGCTCCAGCCAAATCTCCACAAGCATCTTTTCCACCTTCCCTTGTATTGGGGTTTCAATGTAATTTGCAGGGCTTTTTTTTTTTTTTTTTTTTAATTTCTCACTGCGTTTACTTAGGCACCTTGGTGGGAAGAACACAGAAATGAAGAAGCTGGTTAGGAGATCTGGGCTCTAGCCCAGCTCTGCCACTGGACTTAGTTGGATCATCTTCAGTAAGTTACTGAACCTTTCTAGCCTCAGGTTCTTCATCTGCAAAATGGAGATAATGATACCTAGTCAACCAATTTTGCCAGGTTGTTGTGAGGATCAAATAAGAGAGAAGGAGAGAAGATGGAAGAAGGGATTTATTAAGCACTTACTGTGTGCCAAGCACTGTTCTAAGGGCTTTACAAATACCTCATTTGATCCTCACAACAACCCAGGGAGTTAGATGCTATCATTAACCCCATTTTACAATGGAGGAAACTGAAGTAGACAAAGGTTAAGTGACTTGCCCAGGGTCACAAAGCTAGTAAGTGTCTAAGATCAAATCTGAGCTAGGGTCTTCCTGATTCCAGGCTTAGTGCCTCCTAGCCCTGTTAGATAGGAAAGTGCTTTGAAAGGGATAGAACACTACACTGACAGGAAGCACAAGAGAGCTTAATTTATCCATTCCTTGCCTCCTGCAGACACTGAGTTTACTCAAGTAGGGGCTTAAGGTCCTTAAGTTTCCCAACCAGTGGTTTCAATCCTTTGATGCATTGTGACATGTCTGATTACTTGGGCCCAATTTTTTGGGGGGGGGAGAGAAGTAATGGCTAAGTAGTTATGTAATGTGGAGGGAGGTGGAGGGAGGGTGATAAAGTTGTGCTTTCAGATGGCTGGATTGGCAGGTGGCTAGATAGAGACTGAACACACTCCCCCCATCTTGCTGTGTCTCAGCAACTTATCATATATATTATAGAACAAACAAAAGGCATGTCTGTTCAATAAGCCTATATAGAACACCTTGTCATGTACCCAGCCCTGGGCTATAGAATTTTCCTTGTACAGAAGAGAAGGGCCATTTGTGGAACTCACAGTCTAGCTGAAGAGACAAGATACATACTTGACAAGTAAAATGATCAGACCCCCTGATAAGATGTCACCAGGTTTTATGTAATGTGGCAGATGAGTCCTACTGGTTCATGATACTGCCTTGAGTTCAGGTAAGACTAGGATGCTTAGGGAGAAAAAAAAAATGGAGATGAGATTTAAATTGGATATTAGTGGATGGATTTAGCCAGGAAGTGATCAAGAAGGAGGAGGAAAGGTTTTCCAAGTATAGTAGGTAAAGGTACAGATGTAGTAATGGATCTAGAATGAGAAGGGTTCAGATTCTGCCTCTCCTGCTCGCTTTCCCTATCACGGCAGGAGTTTCCTCATTTTTAAAATGAGAGATTTGAAGTAGCTGATCTCTAAAGTTCTTTCTAGCTCTCAATATTTTGACCTTCAAGGTATATACTACTTGTGTTCTGGGGACAAAGAAGACATCAGGTTGTAAAAGCAGAAGGTTTGTCTTGAGGAGTAGCGGGAGATAAAGACAGAGAGGTCTGTTGGGGCCAGGTTGTAGAAGAGTTTGTTTTTTTTTGTTTTTGTGTTTTTTGTTTGGCTAGGCAATGGGGTTAAGTGACGTGCCCAGGGCCACACAGCTAGTGAGTGTTATGTATCTAAGGCCGGATTTGAACTCAGGTCCTCCTGAATCTAGGGCTGGTGCTCTATCCACTGCACCACCTAGCTGCCCCACATAGAAGGCTTTGGATGCCAAGTGAAGGGGTTTGTGCTTTTTGCTATGACCTTTGAGAAACTACGAAAGGATTTGAGCCCAGGAGTGATATAATAAAAGTGATGTTTTAGAAAGATTAAATTGGCAGAAGTTGAGAAACAATGCGTAATAAGGCCAAGGACACTGGTTTTGTTTCTGCCTAGACTGGTTAGATTATCAACATTTACCCTGCCCCTAACTAACCCTCCCTGAAATAACTGACACTGGTCATAAAGGGGATGGGGGAAGAGTATACAGCTGTCTTAATGTACCCCATCCCCATTGCTAGAAGCACAACTCAGGGTCCACATCCCACTGATGGTAGAATGGAGTACCTTCTTCATATTTGAAATGCAGCAGGTTATTATGAACTATCCAAAAAATGTATTGGTGAAATTGAAAACAATTGACCCTGATGTCAATGGGCATAGCACCATCCAGACTGAATGGCCTGACTCCTAAGAGACTGCTCCCAGGACAGCTGCTTAAATGTCTTGGTGAGGGCAGGATCCTCAGGATGAGCCTAGTTAGTGGTTGTCTTTTCCAATGTACTCCTGCACCAACGATCAGGGAAGTGTGCCAGGGCCATTCCCAACCTGGCCTTGGAATCATTGTCTATAGAATTCATGTCATTGGGCCCAGAGTCAAAGGCAACAGCCAACCAGGTAGTCCCTAGCAATGAGATGTGTCTGTAAGGTCTTCCCCAAAGGCTCATAGCCAGTGCTCTTCCTTAGCTTCTCCAACTCAGTGATGACTGATGTAGACCGATATGAAGAGAAACCATGTCTGCTGTCTCTCCTGAGGAGCTACAGTAGGGTATGCATTTAGTACTGGGTTTGAATCTTGTGTCTGCCACTTACTACTTGCGTGTCCTAGGCAAATCTCTTCTCTCTGGGCTTTCCTCATGTGTAAAATGAGGAGTTGGGCTAGAGGATTTGTAAGGTCTCTTCCACCTCTGAAATCCTGTTTTCTAAGATGAGAAATTCTACTTATAATTGTTATTTCACGATCTACTCCTGCCATAGGCTGCCTATGAATTCAAGTCAAGTTAAGTCAGCAAGCATTTATTAAGCACTTACTATGTGTCAGGTGCACTGCTAAGTGCTGGTAATATAAATAAAAGCAGAAAGAAAGGCAATCCTTGCCCTTAAGGAATTTACATTCTAATGGATGAAGACTATGCACAGAAGGAAGCTGAAAATAGGAAAGGAGATGGAGAAATGAAGGTACCAGGCTTGGGGGCATGGTAGAGAGATTCCGGAGAGTGAAGAGCAGTCTGAGAAGGAATAAAGACATAGTTGACCTGGGCATCCTCCTTAAAATACAGGTTCTGAGAGAACTAGCCAATCAGAGAGAAAGGCTGCAAGGGCAGAGA